TGGAGTGGAAATATGGGTATCGAAGGTTCCACACCGAGTCAACGTCAAGGAACCGCGATAATGTGTCCGAGCCCAATCACTTCTTTAACGGCATGGACCGCTCAGGGCGAGAGAACTACATGTACCAATACTTCTGTACGGTAACCACTCGCTCTGCGGGGCCTCTCTGGCCTGCCGGGTCCTACTGTATTAATAGAAAGGGAGACTGCCCTGAAAACTTTGAGACAGGATCCCAGTCCACAACCTGCGAGACGACAAAAAGCAAGTCTAATTCAGGTGGAGATTTCCCTTCAGGCTCGTACTCTTCCAGTGGCCAGACCATGGGTTTCTGCTGCAGAGAAGATGGCAACGCGTCCATACCTGTACACCTGCCCACACAGAAACCTTTCTACCTGTACAGATTTGGCGGCAAGTGTCAGCAGGTTGATGGGATGGTGGTGCTGGAGGAGTCTATGACGCTACACTGTCACGTGACAGGCCACGAGAACGTCGTTCCGGACGGAGGCAGAGATGGTTCGCCAATCTACAGAGTTGAACTCTGCTATTATTACCGCGCTTAACTCATAGAAGACCCGCTGTTTTAGAGTACTATATCAAAGAGGCGTAATATAATATTGTCCTCCTTTTATTAATACTGGTATTTTTCCGTATTCATACAGGTTTCTCCGTATTCAAGTAATTTTTTCTTTATTCAGAATATAGGTGTTTCTTTATTCATTAGGTTTTTCTTGATTCATATAAAATTTTTCCTTATTCATGTAGGTTTTTATTTATTCATATAGGCTTTTTTCTTTATTCATATAGGTGTTTTTTTCTTATTCATGTAGGTTTATCTTTATTTATTTAGGCTTCTCCTTATTCATATTGGATTTTCCCTTATTGATTAAGGTTTTTGTTCTTATTCATATGAGCTTTTTCCTTATTCATATGAGCTTTTTCCTTATTCATATTGGCTTTTTCCTCATTCATGTAGTTGTTTTTTTTCTTTATTCATACAGGCTTCTTCCTTATTCATACAGGCTTTTTCCTTTTAGTCTTAGAAAGGTTTTACAGTGCTCGCAACTGCATAAGGTCATATGAGCGCCAAGGGTTTTCTTATTCATATAGATTTTTTCCTTATTCTTAGAGATTTTTTCCTTATTCATATAGATTTTTTTCCTTATTCATAGAGATTTTTTCCTTATTCATAGAGATTTTTTTTCCTAATTCAAATAGGGTTTTTAAAAAAATCGGAAACGTGTGGTGTAAAAAGGCAGGTAACAACATACACACTCGGAAATATGAAAAGTTACGTTTCTGGTGAGTGTATGTTGGTTCCGTTCCAAATGTGCAGCAACATTGTCTTTGGTCTACGGCTAATCGGACATAATGTAATAATAATATGTGATTCATCGTGGTGAAATCAGGCGCTTGTTGAAATAATGGAATCATAGATCTCTGCATATTTCTGCAGGTTTGGCAATTCTTGTTGAATTTTAAAAAAAATATTTTTTTTTAGCTCATCAGCTTTTATGTCCATTAATTTAAAAACACAATTCTGTGAGGATTTTTTTTACTAAAAAACGTTGATTACAGACAAAAAAAAGTCATTTCTTAGTTTCCAAGGACTCCCAATCTATAGAAGTCACCAGGCTTTGGCGGCCATTTTATCCCTTATTTTTCCTCTGAAATCAGGCAACCCCACTTCCTTAAATCGCAAATATCTCGACCTCTATTCAAGATTGATGTGTATTTTTTCCATTGAAAGGTAGACGAATAAACAAGCTTTAGGGTGACACAAATAACTCCACGTGTCCCGAAACTGACGACCATAATGTCTCACATAATGTATGCCCGCTACGTCTTTAAAAAGTTCATGTCATATGCTCGTCTCACCTTTTAGAGCTATTCTGTATGTGTATGTGTGCGTGAGTGTGTGTGTGTGTGTGTGTGTGTGTGTGTGTGT